ACTGGTTAGTTCGCTATTCCACAATCTATGCATGTTAGTGGTTCTCGTTACTGAGAAACTATCACACTTTCATTTTTGGGCTTGACATAGTAATATCTATTCGTGTCTAGATGTGTTATCAATTATAAAAACATTTTATCTACATTTAAAAAATGTAACAATTTTTAATACTTACAATCTTATTGTATTACTAACACCATCTGTCGAAAATTATACAATCAAATAAGACGTGTATTTTCAACGGGACTGTTACTACTAACGCCGTCTATTAGAATAAATATCTATTTGAACAGAATGTTTAGATATAAAAACGCCGATTTTCGGTAAAACAAATAAAAAATGAATAAGTAAATTATTATTAGTTATAAGTGTGGTTTAATGCGCGATAATAGTTTTTTTCAATCAAAGCAATAATCGGATTTAGTGGACTAGGTATAATTTGTTGCTCTTAACCTGTTGTTAAGCGATTATAGCTGCTCATACACACCTGCAACTCAAGAGACACGAGTGACCTCGAGTCTCTTGAGGGGGGTGTGTGACGTGTGGGGTGAATAAATAAAACAAATTGGCTTGTAAGTTAACAAATCAATAATGTAATTAGAAATTAACATTTTATACTATTATTTATCTAATCTTAAAGAAAATAGATATTATGATTATTTTATCCTAAATAGTTAATATTTTAGGCTGATTTAAATAATATACAAATTATGCAGGCGGTAAATTTATACATCTAACGGTTAATTTGAATAGCTGTTACGAAAAAATTCTACAACTGCGAACGCTTCGCTACATTGTGCCATAGACTACGTATTATCACTGGCTGAAAGTAAGATATCTAATATCTATGGCGCAAATGGCGAAGGACCTTCGCAGTATAAACATTACGTGACAACACTGTTGAAATATTTAATTATTAAAATATTATGTATTTAGATAAATTGCCGGGTACCATCCGGTACACAAGTATTCTTAGAAACTAATACGATTGAGAGAAAAAGACATAGAGAAAATTTCGAAAACCCTTAACACTAACTGGTACACGAGTATAATTTTACAAGCCTGCCTCCAACATACCTACACATTACTCCTAAGGCCGGTACATTTTATTCGTCATACTTACAACAATACACTTTAAGTAATAAAGTTTTAAAATTCAACTATACGATATAGCTTCTCATAAACTATTGCATTACAGTTTGTAATCTCATTACAATAAATAATAATATATTTTTTGTAATTAATATGCCTTTTATATATAACTTTTACTTATTCCAGGCTAATAAAACCGTGGAAAAAGTTTTTATAATATTTAACTGGTACATATATGTAACAAGTCTATGGTCTAACAGGACTGGAAGCTTCTACTGCCTATAATTGTTACTTATTCAATTATTAAATGCAACTCGTGACCATATACTCAATAAATAAATAGCAGGACGTAACATAAACTACAAATTCAGGCACCTTTATCTTAATCTATAATTAAAAACGAAGCAGTACGTTTATGATTAGGGTAGGTTTAACGAAGATCTAACAACTTACTGTCGCTAGTAAATCTTATAGAACTTGTCTTTAAAGAACCACTAACAACGATTTGTTTGGACATTATTAAAACAGTAGTTTTAAAATATAGCTTTGTCATTGAAGGCTAGTAGGCTTATAATGTCATAACATTGGATATTTTTCTTAACTTCATTGAACATAGTTCTCTATAGGCACAAACTACGAGAGTAAAATTCGTACATACAAGCATCTAGGACTGTCGATGACAAAAGAGTTTTTAACTGCTGATTTAATATTGCATAAATAAAAACGCCATTGTGTGGTTGTAATACAATTCCATTAAGTAATTCTAAGCAATGAACAATGGAACATTTCTAAATTTCAACTGTTTCTATAATATGTAATAGTTTATTTTTCAACTCTCACTTATTTTTAACACGAAGACGTTTAAATAATAGTATTTGCTTATTTTAAATCTTAAAGAATTCTTCTGAATTACATTTTAAATCGTTCTATCATTTACATCGCCATTTTATGGCGGGAAAAGATATTGAGCGTTAAAAGCTACCTTCAGTAAAGAGGCAACGTTTTATATTAAGGAGGAATATTTATAGGAAGTTGAAGAAAATAAAACTATGATTACATGGCATGAGTGGAAACGAAGATTATAAAAAGTAACACTAAACTACTTTAATATAGATTCCGATCTGAGTTAACAGCTCAAACATTTCAAATTCCCAAGAATATCTAAAAAAATATCCTAAGATTTTTGGGATAGCTGAGTATTTAGTGTACCATTTTCCACCTTTTTAATACAAGTTTTATTTTTTACTGCGTAGCTAAACAAAATCAGTAAAAGTCAGAGAGTCTGACAGTTTGACAGCTGTCGCTGACATTAGTGTGCACGGTAAATTTAGGTGCTTTTTTAAGTTTATATGGTTTTTAACCAACTCATTATTACAATGAAATAAAAATCATCTATACTTTTAGCTTAATAAAGTAGCCTACACAGCTTGCAAAAATATTTGTTACTGCAGAGCTAAGCAACGTTGTCTTTTTAATTTTGATGTCCAGGGCATCACTGTGATATGTCAATGTGGGCATTGTTTCAAATCTAACTTATTTAATTTTTAGCGCTATGAGCGTAGTGTTTTTTAATTTTAATTAATTGATTATAAACTGTAAAAAAGGTGCTTTGACCATAACATTCTATTAGTGTATGGTGTGTTAGGGTATTCTATTTTGTGACTTTAATGTGAATCAGTGAACATACATTTGGCACATTCTTTAAAAAATGTTTTTATTCGTGCGGCATCGTATTGTACTTACATTAAGCAAGAGATTTATAAATAATTATATTGGTTCACTTCATGTTGCTTAACTTCAAAAGTACATTTGTAATACGTATGATAAGTTGATCTAAAGTTATTTTCATACATTGCTTTATGTAAATATAATTATCACTGGGTCTGCTACTAACATTATGGCAAGAATGAAATAAATAATATATTAATAACTACTAACAAAATAATGAGATAAGTACAGTTTAGAACACATGTTTACCTAAAATACTAAATAATTAAGAACGTAAGTTAGATCAGTACAGCCTGCCATTCACCTTATTTGACATTTTCGAAAGATATTTTATCCAAAGATTCAGATATTTACAGCGATCACCACGACATTTCTAATAAACAAATCAATTTATTGCGTTTGTACAACACTGTACTTACCTTATACATTATTTAATAAAATAATGCTTTTTATCAAATGACGCTTGCCAAAAGTTTTTAGGTATTGTAAAATAGAATAACTACTTTAGTTAAGCTTACTTTAGTCCACCAAAAGAGATTAGGGTAAAAGCCGGATAGTTGCCCCGGTTTTGAATACACTATGATAGGAGTATTAGTTATGTTAGCGCTTTACTACAATAAGAAGTGACCTCCCACAGGCCTCAGTGCCATGTAAGCAATCGGAGTAGGCGAACGTGTTCTGTCCGTGTGAGCAAAAATGTTTCCGCTGTAAAACGCTGACGGGCGTTGATCTTATTTTGGTAAGTAATTTTAGTTGAATATTTTTAGTATTGATCGTGCTTTCAGTCAACTTTTTGTTTCTTTGTATGCATTAGAGTCTAAATTACAATGTTTATTATGTTTTATTACTCAATAGTTTTTTTTTTTATATTTTAAATATTAAGTATCCGCATCAAAAAGGATAGTTGCCCTACTTACTTTTGGGGATAGTTGCCCCTAGAGTGACTGTAAATTAAATCTTCATCGAGCAAGCACAGTTTTTTTTTCTTTTGTTGTTTTTTCCAATTTACTGTGACTTATAACTTGTTTTAAACAAAATAAATAGTTAACTGTTTTATATATTTATTTTAGGAAAGCAAAATGCCTCGCAAGAACAAGCGAAAACCAGGCGTGGTGCCGCGCCACATCAGCTGGACAGAAGATAGCTTAGCACTTGTAATACCACTTTGCATGACTAAAAGAGCTAAACAATCGGACGAAAATTTTAAACTCTGACGATAAAATAGTCCAGAAGAAGGATAAAGCCGAAAAAAAAAACACAAATAAAATTATCAGAGAAAAAGAAAAACGTTAGACAGTAAAAAACAAACTAGCTGGTAACAAGAAAAGCATTGAGAAAAAAAAAAGGAAAACCGCAAAAAAAATAAAAACACCAAAATATTTTAAAGCATTAAAACTGAAGAATATTTAATAATGTTAATTATTATTTTAATGTGTACTTAATAAAAGATCTCATTAAATTATGAAGACTGATAAATAAATGATAAAGATTAATTAAATTGATATAAATTTATTTTCATCCCAAAAAAACATATCGAGGTGACTATCCTCGCACGAGGCAAGTATCCCTCTAAGGATTTTCCACGCTAGGCTACTATCCGCCACAGTAGGCAACTATCCGTTTTTTCAGAGGCCAAATAAAACAGGATTTAAATAAAACCAATGTTAATTATGCTAACAAAAATAGGCTATAATAGAAGACAAAAGACCTATGTTATGAAATACATATCGTATAATTTTCAGCAAGAAAATATTTAAAAAAAATAAAGCTTTTTTGAAAAGTGGGGCAACTATCCGGCTTTTACCCTATTCTTTAGTTAGACCAATTTAATTATTTTCGGATTTAAAATAGATCAAAAGTATTTCGTTTGTATACATGACACTTGCAACATGAGGATCTGCGGAAATAAGGTTATAGTCATTTAACATTATACCTTTTTTAAATGTTGAATAAATACGTGTATAAAAGTAGACGATTTCAAAAGATTGAAAAAGATGTGCATTTATAGATAATATTCATTAGCATGCGCGTCTTATTTATGAGAAGGCCAAAGTTTAATTTAACATTTGGTTTATGTTACATAAGCATCTTTCTCTAAAATGATATCTAAGCAAAGCTCAACACTTTTTTTTAAAGTATGGCAGGCGTCATTCTTATAACAAAAGTAAGGTGCACGGTGCTTAAGATTTGAGAAGTTTGTTGGCTCGCTGGTTCGCCACCGCTATACGCGTTTCGTTGCTCTCACCCTATAACATAGAAATCGTTATAACATTTTGTACATACAAGACGTTTTTATGCAAAATTAAAATGTTTAATAAAAATAGGATTAGATATCATTGATTTAAATCACTAGAATAAACGAAAACCATTTGAGAAATAAAAAATAAAATGAGAAAAACAAAATAGACTATAAAAAACAAAGTCAAGAAAGAACACAAAAAAATTACGAATATGAGAAGACACACAATCATATGAAACTAAAATAAAGAGGTTATATTACAAAATAGAAGAAAAATCAGACAGCAATAGTATACTTCAAAAGAAACATTTTTAATAAAAGTTGGAAGAACGTTAACGCTTGATCACAAGAATGTTCACATGTAACAATACGTCGAGCACAACATGGATATAATCCACGAGTGTATTTAAGTGTAATAAAACAATTGATGTACGAGTATAACAATTATATGTATCATCTTTTGATTAATTTTAAGTGTATAACAATTAGTAGCCTATAGATATGAACTAGATTTTATTGATTATTCCGTAATATTACATGTGAGTTAGATACAACCTCTATAAGCCGCTTTAACTTCAGCGCCTTTAGCTCCAAGCGTCACGTTGCTTAATAAATTCAAACTGATATTAAAGCTAATCAGGCCTATCATAGACTATCTTTTTTTTGCATACGGCAATAAGAGGAGATAAGGTAACATCCAAGTAGGCCTAAGGACGTTATAGTGATCTAGGTAATTTCTTTTTTATGCACCTGTTTCTGCTTATCGCTTTTCATGTAATAAACCGTGTTTTAAAATCTATTCTTTTTCCTGATGGCCTGTTGTTATTATACTACCTACCATTATATTATTGTACTATATTCTCTTTTTAAGAAAAATATTTTAGATACTTATATATTTGAGTTTGTATTGTATGTTTACTATTGTGTCATTACTGATTTTTATTACCTAATGTTAAGACTTAAAATTAATATTATTGCGGATTGGGTATTAAAGCATATTTCTTAGCCTAATACAAAAAATGTTTGCAAGCCACTGGTAAAATATGGTTGAGCTTCAATGTACTGTTACACCTATCATGTATTACCCATATTTGCAAAATAGAATATTCTATTCTATTCTGTTCCTACTAAACCTATGTCGAATTTTACGATGAGTATACATCATTATCAACGACATGTTTGCATCACAAGTAGTAACTGGTATTTCTTTTGTTAATTCAATTAATGAGTATACACGAATAAACTCTTTTAATTTTATATTTTACATCTACAAATGTAATTGTATTAGGTTTATCTTTTAGGAGCCGAAAATAAATTTACATAACGATGGCGGGTACCTACCTGCCATCGTTTTGTCAATTTATTACTAAGGTACTAAGAACACACGCAGTGCTATTTCGGTAACTGGTTTAAATAATGTTACCTACATCTCCTCTAATTTTTCAATGGCCAATTATTTTCCAACGAGAATATTTTTTTTAGCATAATACGGACATCTTAAGGTAACCTGCTTTACTTTAGGCCTTTGTGCTATTTCGCTTTTAATCTACAAGCTGTGCTCAGTTTCATATTAGTGCATTTAGTACAAAATATACTCACGGTTTGCGACGATGTACGGTGTGTTTAATTGTAGTGTGAGTGTTGGTCTCGTGGGGACAGTTAGTTTATGTCCGGTTTTAAAGAGTTTTATATGGTAGGTTTATTTATTACCTAAAGTATATTGTATAACCTCTATACTTCTTAATTCTTATTTGTTATAATAACACGATGTTACTGATTTAATAAAATTGTCATTGTAAGGACTAGAATTTAATAAACATTGAAACGTTTTATTTTATTAGTTAAGAATACGTTTTTTCCTTAACATTTATATTATTTACCTTAATAAAAACATAAAAAGGGAAAATAAAATAACTTAAAATCATCTTATAAATGAATTGATTTATTTTCTCAAAAATAAATAATAATAATATGTTTATAAATTATAATACTTTATCGCTAAGTTAAGGTAGCTACATTGTAATACTATGTTACATTTAGCTTTAATCCATACTATATATTTTATAGAAGCAGATATGTTATTGCCAGATATGTAAAAGCTATTTTATAAGCTTCAGATTATCAATTTCATTTGATATATTATTATTATAAGTTTAAATATGTGCAGAAAATAGCTACGAGTGGAATAATTAAATTATATTATTTGTTTGAGCTTTCATTATAGAATTACTTAACAAGATAGATACATAAATGCTTCTATAAAAAGTACACGAAATTAATTACTGTGAGATCTGTAGTTTTAGATACAGTTAAATATTCTCAAGACATGTGACCGGCTAAAGTCTATTGCTTAAATTCAAACTATTATCACATATCAACCCATTCCTATCGCTCCATTCAAATATAACACCTATTCATCCCTTCTTAGAATTATATTTTGAAGCTTTCACAAACAGCACTTGTCTGTATTAGTTCCTATAATTATTGCAGACTCGCCTAATATGCACCAAATAATTTAATTATAACAAAAAAAAGCAAAAAAGATATATAATTGTTTTTTGAAGATAGGACACAATGAAGACTGATAATAATTGAAATTTGATCCAAATAATACACAATAATCTGTTTAATGAGATATCTTTTATATTTCGCTAATAATATACAAGATATATGTATGCAACAACATAATTTATGATTATCAGTATGCGCCAAGCGAGATTTCAACTTGCCTAGTAATAACAGTAAAACTACATAGTAACAAGGGGTAAATGTATTTTCTCAAAATAATAAATCTCAAGTTCAACTCCTCCTTTGTTTATTTGTATATTACCTATTAGCCATTAATTTAGGTACGCATCAACGATATCTAAATATGATTAAATATTATTTTTTTAATTGAAGATTTCATACTGCATAAAATGACCGTCGTGGACTGTCTTATTAAGAAAATTTGTCGTCAGTCATTTACATCATAAAATATATTTCAATTATACTTAGATCAAAATGCAAGTATTATATGTATTTGTTAATGTTCTAATACTAATTCTGTGGCACTAAATCAAAGTTTCCTTTAGATAGATAATATATCATGATCAGTAAATATTTGTATGTGAAAATGGAAATAGTGTAAAGTAAAACGAATAGTGTGCTACTGCCTCGGCAATACGGTCTAAGATTGCTTAATTGAAGACTATGCTACATACATGTATTTAATATTTGTAGACAATTGGAATGTATTATCTAGTACATTGAATTTCTGTGTTCCTGAGTTTAGAGCCGAGAGTAACAGAGATAAATTAGTGACTGTTCATTTTATACAGTATCATGTACTAATCATTATACCTTTAATAATAACGTTACAGTTGAATAAAAATATCTCGTGATATAAGAGGAACAATAAGCAAAATATTTTATTTAATTAAAGTAAACTTTGGCCGGTTGCAGATTCACTTATTTCTCATTAAGACAAGAAATTAACAAAACAAATCATAACTGTATGCAGTATTTCATTCACAATAAACTCTTATACACTTAATTGAAATATATATACTTAATTAAAGTAGATTTGGCTTGAATTAAATAATAAGTGTACTTTACAGTGTAACTGCAACCGGTAGGCACGAGTATTAAGTATTACCCGCGCAAATGACCACGAGACCGTGTGTGTGTGTGTGTGTGTGTGTGTGTGTGTGTGGTTGTGTGATTCCGCTGCTGTTTACTTGAGGAGCTCGTGCGCGCGCTGGTTCGCCAGAGTTATCCTCGTTTCGTTCGATTCGCCCTAAGATAGAACACGGGCTTTTTGTTTGTTGTTCAATTTACAGCGACTTTTTAACTTCAATTTATGTTAACGGCCAATTTTTAAAGGAAAAATTAACGATTGTATTTTTTTGTACAAAGGCTCCAAGTCGCTGTCTTTTGAAACAGGCAATGTTTCGTTAGCATTTGATGTGAATGAGAGTGTTAGTTATGACGTCTAACTGGAGGTATGTTAGTCAGTCGGATGGATGCGAGAACTATTGATCATTCGATACAATGGTCGTGTGGACGGATGTGTTTTGGAGTTGTCGGTAACTTGTCATGTCACTCGTAAGACACTTAGAAAAACTTTACAACAACCAGTTCTAATAACATACTCTACGTATGGAAGAGACATGCGTCGAAAAAGGAGGTCAGGAGTGATTTTATTGCCAGATAAGCGAGTGACCGGAGATTTGGATGCCAGTAAGCAGGAAGATAGTCAGATGTACATATAGAAGGATCTAGTCGCACTTCCACTGCTAACGTGACAGGCACAAACACATAGATGGTGAAAATGTTAATGAAGAGTCCAACACAACAAAGTTTGTTATAAAAAATTTGTTGTGCCTAACAACGTTAAATTTAACCCACATTTAACATCTGCGTAACTTATGAGATTAATTTACTTTAAATTAAAAACTAAAGTGTGTATTTGGGTTAAGTTTAACACTGCATAGCTTTAATAATAAACATTCATATTTAAAAAAATCATAAAACAATGTTTATTGGACAGTTGTATTTAATTTCTGAAACTCATCAATGTTTTTAATAAGATAGAACAAAAAAGAGGACTTTTAATTAAAGTACTCCATTGAAGTGTACGCGAATTCGTTTCTTTTCGTAAGACTCACTTTTTAAGTGAAACCACTGTTTGGATAAGAAACTATTTATTGTCTGGTAAATCGGAATTGGCGCCATTCAGAAATGTCAATTGTCAGATGTCAAATTAATTTCCTACGTTGTGTTTATTGCTGAATAGTTGTAACTCAATTTTTCCAAGACAGACCTATTTTTGCGCCTTCCTTATTTTTTAGAAAGGTAATTTTATCTTATAAAAGAAACGTTTGAGTCTGTATGTTTCTTTTAATTTTAGAAATGACAACTGTTTAGTTAGACGTAATTTGATATCTTTGGCCATCACTGTATTTGGAATTTGCAGTATAAGTTTTCATATGCAGTGTTATTAATGATCCATTTTCTGAACTTTTTACGAATTCGCGCACACGTGTCATATTAAAGAAATGCAACATTGACATGCTAGTAGGGCGTACCTTGCGGTTGATGCGGTCGATTTGGCGGTTCTGGTTCTCCAGCTCGGAGCCCATGTCGAGTGCCATGTTGCGAAGATTACCGATCATAGTGTTCACCTGTCCCATATTCTCTTCCATTTCATCTTCGCGAGCGTCATTTGTTATCCTGGGCGAAATTTGTTATAATATTAAGGTTTTAGTATTATGTATACACTCACTCAAAGGGTGGCAACACAGTGGGAGAGCCATGCTTCGATTCGAATGGGCCGGCTCGACCGGAGTGATACCAGTTTCACAGAAAAACAGCGTTAATAATACATAATAACAAAGATTATTTATTGGGGTAACTAAGACTCAAAAATGTTAGTAACAATTTAGACTGACAGCTACATTAGTATTAAGATTAGACACATTGCCTGTGACAGGCGCGGCTGAAACCCCGAGTCATATATAGACAACCTAGTCTTCACAATCATGTTCAGTATGCTGATGGAGCTGACCCGCAACCTGAGCACCAGGGATGCGCACCGTTTTCGCATGACGGTATAGTAACAGTCAATGTGAGCCTCCGTAAACATCCCTGATGCGTTGCAGTAGCGAGGCAACCACATGAGCACCCTGAACGAATTATTATATTGTAGGTATGTGGAAAGCATTGTATGATTTTTAAGTAAAATCTGCCCAGAGGTTACACCTATAAAAGGAGGTACAGAAAGCACGAAATACGAGTAATATATATTATATTTCTCTCGAGGCACGCGCAAATCTGCGGGCGATTATATTAGCTCTCACGGACAATGTACGGACAAGTACGTGGCCTAAATATTTAAAATGTTTCTTTTTAAAGACTACTTAAGCACTCGGAATACAATACTGTGTGGCGGGGGACTTTATGAACCGGACACAAATAACACCCAAACTCAGAACAACAATTTGTGGATCACAAAAGGTGATATCCCATGTGGGGTTTGAACCCACAAAACTTAGCGCAGTAGGAAGCGGCAAGGTGACCGCTTAAACCACTATGCCATCCGTGCAGTCGAGCCTAGTTTACCCTTGATAACAGTTGTACAGTTTTTAGGTAATTTCTTTCCGCCCCCACGGACAATAATAACACGCTTGGCGGAAATATATTTTAAGCCGTTAATGTTGGCATATTTCTCGCAAGTTTTTATGAGGGGGCCAGCAGCACTATATCATCTGCATAACTAATATTATTCAGACATACACTGTCTATGTGACAGCCAACACGCATGCTACTGAGCGCCTTTATAATGTCGTTTACATAAACATTAAAGAAGGTGAGCGAAAGCAACCCTCCCTGTCTAACGCCACAATCCAAGCCATAGCTTTATGACATACCTCCGGCTCTTACGTTATTGACCTGGTTTCCTAACTAATATAATAATAATAATATTTCGTATATCTGACAACGCCATCTAGTTTTAAACTAAGCAGAGCTTGTACTAGGAAAGCTAGATTGACTGACAATACTTATATACTTTTTTTCTTCGTAAATACATTATCATGTTAATCATGTCTGTTGCAGGTGTCCATGAGCGACTGGTAGTCACCTACCATCAGGTGACACGTCTGCTCATTTTCCCCCTTATACAATAAAAAACTCGTGTATCTTTGTTGGCAAGTAAACGCCAGCTAGACTCTGCTATACGTTAATATTCACTACATTCATAATACTTAATATTATGAATATACCGTATATTTTCGTATAGGTAGCAGGCTTTGCTGGCTTGCGATTTTGCTCGCTAGTTTTTTTTTATGTAACTCAAGGGACACGAGGCACTCGGCGTTTTAAGTGTCACCTCCCCCAGAATTCTTGGAATTGTGTTCGGCTCCAGTAACTTCGTTCGTGAAAAGCAACTAAAGAAATGCTTAGTTTAACATTTATAACATTAGTTAAGATTTCTGATGGAGTTAGATGTTATATAATTAATAATTAATTAACTGAAAACTAGAACTAAATAATGAAGTTTCCTTGTGTAAAATAGGCCCAATATTGTGTCCTTATGATACTTGATTAATTCCATTTCGTTTTGTAAAATTATTCTCGAATTTGAAGTAGAAATAGATGTTTTAATCAAAATCTTATCTTATATCTTCTTATATTTTAATCAATATCTTTCATAGAGTTTATCTCCGTATTATAATGTCGCGTATAGCCTCATCCATAAAACAATATACAGCTGTTTTACCTTCCTATGTATCCAGCTTGTGGACCTATACCGTTGCGTTCGTCCATTACTCTCTGGGGTTGGTTATTCACCACTTTACCGTCATCGTTGCCCTTCCACGTCCCGTCGTCTTCCTTGAATGATGCACCCCTGAAAACCCATAGCAATATCTTCAAGTATTACATTACAATTAAAGTTGCAATACAGATCAACAAAAGCAGGTATTATATATAAAAAAAATTAAAAATACATTAAAGAACATTCATTCTTCAATATAAGCACATTATTAACTTAATATGTAGGTATTTATAAATGATTTTGTTTAATAATGCAGTACGCACTTGTTGCACGGCAGGACACAAATGCCGCAACATTTCTCCATACCCGAAAGATTCTTCTCAGCTTCGCGCATATCAGCATTGATCTGGTCCATGCCTTCCTCGACTCTATCCAATTGCTCTGTTCACATACCACAACAAAAGTTTTAGATCCGCTCTGGTCAGTAATCCTTCAAATGTGTACAAGCGCCTATCTCTATTATTCGCGATTTAATTTTTGATTTTTTTTCCTTTAATCTCGATTGTAAATTCTCAACGCTCTCGACAATAACCGGCACTAAGTGTAAGACATTGTATCTGGTAACAGTAGCTGAGTTTTATTCAACTATATTTAAAATCATGCAAGCTTCCATTAACCTACAGCAATTCTAGAACATTATAACGCTAAAGTCGAAGCATCTAATATTAGTTAGGGCAAGTTCCTTGTGGTGCTTGTGTTGTCATGTCTTACACTTGATCCAGTTAAAACTAATAAAGAATTAATTATTTACCTTTGTATAAAAATGATGTATGTGCTGACACTAAGTGATTACATTACCGTACTCGTAGTGACTAACAAATACAAAAATTATCTAGATATCATTTAGTCAAAGTCAAAAAAATCTAAGTCATGCAATTAACAGCAATATTGAAAGAGACGTGCATAGCTGGATGCGTGAGAATAAACTAAACAAAATAGTTGATACTGTTTAACTCATTCAGATAACCTCAGCGTCCCGATCGCATTAAGACTATATCGAGTGGTGAGGGAGCGCAGAGATCAAACGATGCAGTTTATACACTAGTTTTATTTATGATCATGACAAACAGTTTTTACCTTCAGTTTTATCCTTTATAAATAAACTGTTAGCAGATGTTCAATCGATAATAATTTATTGTTATAAAGTAATTGCCATTCACCAACTTTCGTAAATTATCTGAACTGGCATTTCAGACAAAAGCTTACTAAATTATGAATGATGCAAAATAGTATGTTCTACTGGATGCTTACCGCCCTGTTCATCCAGCATGACCAGGGTTTTCATGCCCACCTCGTGACTCTACAACACAATAATGATGTCACTATAGCTCGCCAAACGAATGCGGTGAGGAGTCGGGTGCGGCGCGCGCGCTTGCATGGCGCTAAGCACGTGTGGCACCGCGCGGGCGCGCTCTCAACTCAATACCAACACAACTCAAACTGATAACTAAACAGAAATAAACGATACATGGGCATGAGGGGATGGAGTGCGGTTGCTGCGATATATAATCGCGTGCCCACCGCGCCACCATCCACATCATGAGGTAAAATAAATCAACTTAGCAAATGAGCGTATCCATAAAGCCATTCCTAAATGAAACGTGAAAATAGCAAAGTATTGATTTAGTTGAAGAAGAAAATGAACAAACTAATATGTAGTGTTGCGAGGAGCGAGCGGCGCTGGAGGCTGCGCCGCCGGCCTCGCTGATAGACACAGATCGCATCGAGCTAACAGTTACCTAGATCTAACATTAACAGTACGCTGCCAGCCATGGAGATGAAGGCGTACACCATTTACTCTATACGTCCAACAGACACTCGGTAAACGCGCATTCATTTCAGTACCGCAGTATCAATACGAGAAGAGAACAGTAGATTTGGAAAGATAAATAAATATACCTATAAAAAGCGTATCGATCAAATATCAACGGAAGAACTAAACAGATTGCGCAGCTCATTCAAATTAAATCTTCAGCAAAAGGTAGAGTAACAGTCTTTTGCGACAATTAGCAACGAACGGCCATCGGGCTTTTCTATTTACACTATTTTGTCAAGGTCATCCCCATCGAAACATAGATACACACGCAACATCGATCTTAGATAAGTCGTTATTTAAGAGAAACGTCAAAGAAAAACAAAGAGATTAATTTTATTAATTGCACATTCAAACACAGACGTTCTCACGGTTCGACTACCCACGTGTCAGTTTAACTCTTACCGCCCTGGTGACTCAACATATGAAGCGCTTGCCCCCCGGCGTCCTCGCTCTATACATAAAATACAAATCAAAATAATATATCATAGGAGAGAGTTGGGGGTGTGTGGGTGGGTGGGTGCGGTGCGCCGGTAGGGTACGGCACGCACGAGACGCGCGCGCGTGCGGTGCGCGTGAGCAGCGGCGAGTGCGGCGAGCGTGGCGTGTCGCGAGAGCATTCGCGCTACGGTGGAGGCGACGGGCGGCGTGCGTGCGCGGCGTGCGGGCAAGCGCGCGGCCGCCGCGCCCGCATCGTACCGTACCGCAACAGGGACGGCGGCGTGCGCGCGCGGCGACCGTAGCAGCTCGCCGCTAACACACACTACTCGATCCACAAAAACATGCATGCAGTGAAGCTTGCAAGTAAAACCAGATTAAGTTTCATCTGTGCTCAGTTTCATATGATTCATGATATTTTGTGTGATGTCAAGAGTCGTGCGTTGAGGAGAAGCGTTTCGAATTTACTTTGCTCGTTCATTTAGATTCGTTTATGTGAATTCAGTAAGGTTGTTAATTAAGAGTCGAGTACAAACATCTGAAATGCAGAATGTATAAGTAATGTCGATTAGTTCGGCCTGCCTGACGTCGTAGAAGATAGAGCTCGTTGTTAAGTTGTGCAAAGTGGTGTATAATATCTACATAACGAATAACTATACAAAGATGTGGGTTTTCCGTGATAATCTCCGTGTGTGAGTCAACAATGTAAATTGGTAATTTTTCCGAGGATGCCCGCACCTTTGCATTTGAATAGCGGTGACGTAATTTTAAATAGATAATCAATGCGATACCCCCTTAATCTCTTCTAGATCGGTGAGCCCATCTTCGGGTCAGCTGAAAACCCTACGATGCTCAACAAAGTTAGCGAAAAAGGATAAAATAGATAAAATTGTAAATAACGTAGTGTTGCAAATTTTGCAGATCACTCACCTCCCTGGTCGTCTAGAGCGACCAGAGTACGAATGCCGGCCTCCTTGCTCTACGCCGCAGAAACAAAAAGTCACAGAGCATGTTAGTTGTGAGGGGTACAGTGGAGTGAGTGGACAGTGGACGGTCACTATTGCTCACTGCCGGTAGCAGCCAGCGAGTGCCGTGTTCCGGAATACATGTACGAGTACAGTCGATTGTAGTGTCGCACACCAGAAAGGGTACCTTCTTCACCAATACATTAAAAATACGCACACCAATATCTGTTACACCGTCGTGAGAAGGTATCGTTTCTAGTGACTGAACAGTGTTGTTGAGTTATGCTGAGTCTGTACTGTGTTGTCATTACATGTTGTATTTTAACGTAGTTATTTGACACGTTAAATTTTAAAACATATCATATATGTACAAAAAAAGGAATTCATTTATTTAAAACAACTGTTATTATAACAATTACATAACATAATATAGAAAATTAAAATGATATTTTGTAGTACAAAATGGTACAATGTATTTTGTGTGAGAGTTAGCATTAGGTGTAGCTCGATATATTTGTTGGAGTCCAGTGGCAGGTACGGGGGTGTGTACACGCCCATATATTGACAGTAATGTGAATGTTCGAGAAGGCATGAAATCATACAACAAAATAGATGTACAGTCAACAACAGAGAGCAGCCACTACACAGAGACCTAATTTACAGATTTAACTAAAACAGGATAGAACGAACATCAACATACACTGATCACGGTACATAACATTTCATTGGCAAATATCGCTAGATCAGTTAGTGTTGGAATGTTTATTTATAGAAACATAAAGAAACTGAGGATAATAAATTCGTCTATGAAGAATAGAAGTATCGTTACCGAGACTGAAAATGTAACAGTAAATAGGTAGAAAGTGCGTTGAAAAGAGTGAGTCAGCCTCGGAGTCGGATTCGTTTTGGGTAAATCCGAGTGTCAGAAAAGGGTCTCATTTAGAAAGCAAGCCCAAGCACAATGGATTGACTATTGTCAGACTCAAAAGCGCACGTATTTCGGTCAAATTACGTACTATAATGGGGATTCTAAATGTTATAAAAGTAACTAAATATGGGACTTGGATTCTATTAACGTCATTGGTAGGCTTCATGCTTTGAAACCTAAAACAGCATTCGGGCCAAATTATAGGAGCTGACGGTTAAACACTCGATTTTCACTTAATTTATTAGCCTCATTGAGAAAATATTGGATGAGGCAGCGTTTAGGTATACAATTTTGTTAATTAACAGTCAGCGCCAAAGGCCGGTTCGCTTGAGATGTTAAATATAATCACATAAAATGTACAGTTCACTACCAACACAAAGGGCTATAGATGTCTAACATTTTCGGACACAATAAGGCACGGATCATGCAACACCCATATATGTATGGTTATAATAACACATAGTACTGATTACATATCATATTTTATACTTGAATGTAGGATTAACATAAAATAAATAAGGATATATGACCGAAGAACTACAATAAATATACATACACACATTTAGAAATAAGGTAAACAAAATAATAAATTAGCGACATCGAAACACAACAGCCAGGGTTAGCAGAGGCTGCGCCCTAGGGGGTACGGTGGGACGGGCGTCAGAGACCAAACCGAGCTTGGGGCTATCCAGGACACTTCCGCTATACCCCTCACTCCCTCGCATCGAGAACACCTCTCTCACAGATGATTACAAATAATTCACATAATCGACAACAGAACTCAACACAGTTTAACTATGAGGGGAAACAAATGTTTCATTACAACTTAAACGCGTCTACGGATATAAAAGACCGCACACTTTTTCTATAGTCTAACTTCTTTGCAATTTAGCAATAGACATAAAGGAGCTTCCAGATTTAGCCGCACGCTTGGAAAATTAAGAGGTCATTTTAATCATTAATACAATATTAGGGCACATTTTACATATTCAATAATAGTGAAGAATTTGATACAAAAACAAATTTTGAGATAGTTTAGTTACTTTCAGATTTACAAAGCGTTCAGTTAATTGTGCGCAAAAGTGCGTTCAATTCCATTTGTACACACATTTTATAAAAGTTTTATATCAAATTCTTGGTTTTCTGAGCCTTTAGACTGATATTTTGAAAGAAAGGCTAATATGGTTGTTAATTTAATTTTTGGAGGCATTCTCGACATTATTGCTTTTTCACTTATAATATGAATATTATTGATCACTCATTTATAGAAGATTTTTAAATTGAGCCACAGTAATTTAATTGGCTTATATTATAAATATGGATTGCTCTCCAAATTATATTCAGTCCTAAATTAGCTTAAAATTAGATTTAAGTAAGTGACAACCGAACTCACCTCTTCACATAGTTGCATCATACGCCGCGTGGACTCCAAAGACTGAAATATTATGATTAATAATATTATAGTTGAATGGTGTTTAAGGAAGTATGTTCTTGTTAGAATTGAAGAACTATCAATTTTATAAGGTGATTGTACTTATTACATGGTGAAACTTCAATATTACAAGGTCTACTTTGTGGACTCTTGTTGTACGTAATCTTATTTATTTAACGACTATCAATATAGCTTAAGATTAAAGGTTTTTCCTTCTAATAACATAACAAAACTTTTCAAACATCGTATTAGAAATCCTTAGAGGTTATTATTAAATTTGTGTGTATTTTAAGATTATATTGCATCCACGAAAAGTTTTGTTTCAAGGATCGGGACCGCGTGGGTTTCTATTACAAGAAATAAGCGTTCCGTCGTCATTCACTAGTATCTACTTTTTCCCAAATTTGGCAAATGGAAAGAAAACAGTTTAATGTACGGATTGTTTTACATACCTCATCGGTAACCTGTCCAGCGCGTAGCTGGAGCTGTTCGAGTTCGCTGCTAGGAGCGCCATTTTCGACGGGTGGCACTGCTGCAGGCATCCTGGAACAACAGTCATGTAATTTATATAAATTGTTTGAATAGTAAAATAAAATTATATTTCAAAATCGAGGAAAACAGTATAAAATTAAGTATTCAGTAAAACAGTATAATATTAATTAAGTTTCGTGGGCGGCGATGGTCACTTTCCATCAGATGACCCGTCTGCTCGTCTGCCCCCTTATACCATAAAAAAAAGAACGACAGTACAAAGCCTAGGAGCCTTAACAGTTATGGGTGTACAGTACACCAGCATAGTATCAGTATAACCAGACTTTTTAATTGCAGAACGGAAAAAGCTTGTAATCTCTTATTTAAAAAAAAGTTTAAGTACCGATGCCCAGAAGCACAAAGAAACGCAAGAAATAAAAGAGATGTTGAATTAAAAGACTTTTGTCATTAATTTTCATTATTTCAAAGAATGTGTACCTAGGCTACTTTATGAGTGGTATTTAAGAAAAAGCATAATAATGACTGAAATAGTAGTTTAAATTGTAACACAAATTGATGAGCCAGACTAGAGATTATTTTTTTAATGTAAAGAATATTTTTTCTGAATTTTTTGTGTTTTACTTTAGTGGAATACTTACACAATTTTCTTTATGGTTTTAATAGGTTTTAATCTTGCCGTAAAGTGTCTTAACACTGGGGGTTCATATTCTAAATTCAAACCGGTCAATGTTAAGAATTTATCTTTAAGACGAATTAGCGCGTCGGCGATATAATCCATGTGATCATTAGTATATACCCGACGAGCAATTGCTAAGCGCAAAAATTCCATACTGCAGTGTTTCTGCTTGTTGGTTATTGGATCTCTTCCTAGCAGTAATGAACCAATTTCAACACCTCGCACACCTGATTCTAAGTAAAGCGCATTAGCTACAACCTGAGCGGGGAATTGATAGGGAGGGATATGTGGCACTAACTTCGCACAGTTAATAAAGACTGCATGACCGCCAGTAGGATATTGGATCGGGATGCCGCCTTCCCTTAATCTGTCTCCCAGATATTCAACTTGACCAATTCGGTAACGAAGGTAATCCTCTTGAGTACCTTCTTCAAGTCCTCTTACCATTGCAGCCATATCACGTCCTGCTAACCCCCCATAAGTAATAAATCCTTCCATTGGAATACAGCGTTGTACGGCATATTGGAACAATATTTCATTATTTTTAATACAAATCATGCCCCCGTTATTCAAAAGTGGATCTTTTTTCGCAGACATAGTTAATCCATCAGCGTATTTAAACATCTCTAGTATAATTTTCTTTACACTGGTTTTTTTATACATTGGGTCACGCTTTTTAATAAAGTATGCATTCTCACAGAAACGTGCCGAATCCATTACAACAAATATATTGTGTCTATTGGCTACCTCGTAAACTTCTTTTAGGTTACTCATGGACACTGGTTGTCCGCCTGAACTGTTACAAGTGACGGTGGATACAATAGCAACAACGTTATGTGCACCATATTCTGCTATTTTATCTTTTAATGCGTCAATATTAAAATTACCTTTCCAATCATAATAGGTTTCAAAATCTAATGCTTTCTTTGTGATGACGTTAATCGCCTTGCCACCGTTTAGTTCGACATGAGCAGCTGTTGTATCAAAATGAAAGTTGGAAATAAATACTGGATTTTCGACATTATACGTCTGTTGTTTGTATTTCAATAAAGCTGGAAACATAACGTTTTCTGCTCCTCGTCCTTGGTGTGTAGGTATCACAAAGTTATAATCAAATAACTCTTTCACTTTATTTCTTAAGTCATAATAATTCCTAGAGCCAGCATAAGATTCATCTCCTCTGATTAGAGCAGCCCATTGATGGTCACTCATGGCATTAGTACCGGAATCTGTTAGCAAATCAATGTACACTGCACTACTTGGTAATAAGAAAAGGTTGTAACTAGCTTTTTCTAATTCTGCCTCACGTTCTTCTCTCGTTGGAATTCTAATGTTCTCAACCATTTTAATTCGAAAAGGCTCTACAATCCTTTTTGCCATGATTTAGACAATTACTGATTTTTTATATTTATTTTTCGATAAGAATTTTCGACCAATAAATAATGCAATTTTTACCCTCCTCTTGTTTTAGATAAATAGAGTAAAATATTTATGCACAGAAGCCGTGTGTACACTGGCTGTTTGTTAAAACTAATTTAACTTAACTGAGAGACAGCGTGAGTGATCAAGCCTGTGTCGCGGCAAACACTGTTATAATATTTACAAATTCAAAGCTTTTAAATACGGATAGTTTAATTAATGAATGCGCTTATTCACTGACTTGTATTTTATTATCGTCATAGCATTTCAGATAAAAACTTCTTTATAAAATAAAATCTAAGCTAACAACAGCATTATCTCCATTCAACTTTTGGGTGATTCGGAAAGAAAAGTGGTATTTAACCTTAACGGTAACAAAAACGCATGACATGACATCAATTTTAATAAAATATACAACTAAGAGTTTAATTGAAAAGAGAAAAGCACCACACGTTCCTTATTTAATGCATAGTCGTAGTAATTTGTAATCCGTGTGGTGACGGATCAAGAAATGGAGTGTCACTCCCTATTCGTCCCGTAGGGTTCGTAAAAGCCTACTGAGGGAGCAAACTACGCAGGCAACTTAACAGAACTGCGATGAGAAGGAAAACTTGAAACAAACCTTATACCAATCCGTCTGGCCAGCGTGGTATAGTTGGCCAAAACCTCCTTTCTAAGGAGGCAATTGACTATTGTTTAGCAATTGACTATTAAAGACTGTTAATGGTGATGTTTCTTTGATAATATAAACGAAAAATAAGTCTATGTATATTTATTTTATATTGCTACTATAGAGAAACATTTTAAAACTACACCAATAGACCTTTGAAGTTTAATTTTACGAGTTTGTCATAGTTTCTATTATATTATATTACATCCTATACAATATCGGTATTATTGATATTTTAGCTTATTTCTTATTAATGTTTTCGCTTTCATTAAACGTCAAGAAACATACATAACGGAACAGTAGGTATATTCCTGAATTAGTATCGATTTCTTTAATAATTTTTGGGCTAACTACATACACAGGTATTGCCTTGTATTGCTTAGAGTTGGCACTAGTAGACTATTGGTAAAAACTTTATATTAAAGATACAAGTTACTGTAATAAATAAATTTAGTTTACTATAAAAATTGATTATTTCTCGTCATACCTTTGTTTTAATGAAAAGGATATTAAATAAAAAATATTACAATAAAAGCTTTACTAAATTACTAAAATCAGTAAGTATATATAGTAAATGGATTTATCCATCTAGTTCAACGCTAAGTTTTAGGACTATTCAAATGTACAAACAAAGTCCAGACAGTGCAACCACTCATCGCTATAGTATAAAATGAACAAAATAAAGCCTGACAATTCTACTGCTCACCAGAGTAGAAAATAAGCTTTAATGATTTTTTTCAACTTAATTGCAACCCCGGACGATTTTTTAAGATTTTAATAATACTGTACCGCGGCTCTTACATATTCTGTGGGATAGATTATGAAGCTAATAATTTTTAAAGACACATTCCTTGAACGAGAGGCGAAACCCTAACCGAAATGCTATTCACTATACTGAACGTAGATCTAAAAATAAAAATGATATCGCCTGTTATTCAGATCCATATTACAATTATATGACAAAATACATAGAAAATGATAGATAGATATGTAGATCTGTTTTGCCAGTCGACAGAAGGATGCGACTGCGGTAAAACAACTGTCTTTACCGGCTATGGAGCCTATGACGACCGGTAGCGACAGATCTCCTCCAATGATTGCAGTGAAGACCCGAAGCTGCGACGTCCAAGCCGGGCAGAGTGTCAGCGTATGCTAGGCCGAGCCCTCACTGCAATTGCAGTGGTGACAGGCGGGACTCAATTCCCTCCTAGCGATCGGGTACTTGCCACTCGCTTACCTCTTCGGGCGGGGGCCGACTGCCACTATCCGCCCGGCACTCAGCCGTCCGCCGATATATTTCGGCGAGCACTTCCGCCTCCAAATCCCACGGGGGAGTACCGGCCAATGCACACGACGCCTCCGTCAAAACAGTGTGGTAACCGCGTATGGCTCTAACCGCCAATAGCCTCTGAGGGCGCCAGAAACGTGCCCTATTCTGGGCGGTCAGAGCCGCCGCCCACACCGGTGCACCGTACAGTGCCATTGACCGGACAAATTGGGTAAAAGTCACCCAAGAACAGACGCAGCGCCGACCAGCTTTGGAGCAAGCTATCGAGTTTGGGTTAATTTGTTTTGGCTCGAGTTAGTACTTTAGTGCTACATGGTGTCCAGGGATAGACCGCAAAAGATTTTTTTTTAAATACAGTAAATTTATCTATACTAATATTATAAGGAAGTAAAGTTTGAGAGTTTGTATGTTCGGGATAATCCCCGGTACTATTGATCCAATTTTGGAAATTCTTTCGCTGTAATAGTCTAAACAATGTAAGAAGTGCCTTTTGACAGATGAAACTGACGTGCTGTAATTAAAGAACGCAACTACGTACGATTTAAACGGAACATAAAATAACTCTATTAAGTAAAACAATTTTTATATAAGTAATAATTTATACTACTAAGTTGAATGAATGTAATGGGACACTCTTCAGTTTAAATGTCTACAAATAATTGAAACAATCGCGTGATTCTTCATTTCTGCGAGATGTCGTAAAACAGTTACATTCTATGAGTTTTGTTTTTTAATTTTAGTGTTGTTACATTTTAATCGTTGCGGAGGTAAACATAAATGGATTTATTTTACAAATTATATATTTCAAAGGACTTGCTAACCAGTGTTCGTCTTCATTATAATTAAATAGTTATTTATTATTTATTAATTTGTTCTTTTCGCTTTAATTTTTTCGTATGTTTTTCGTATAATTAAACCAAAGTGAACTAATACATTCATATTTATTTTAAAAAATCATTGAATTGAAGAATTAGTTTATAATTTTAAACTATAACATCTATGAATTTAAGCTACGTTTGACAGATTCGATCTGAAACTACAAAGAGTGACATTTCTACGAAAAATAAACAGTACAACCGGTTGGACTAAAGTATATATATTTTTGTATGAAACGTGGTTAAATGCAAACCTGTCGAAGTCTTGGACGAACGATACTCCGTCCTCTAGTACAAAAGTGCCTATTGGGAAAGGTGGCCGATTAATCATTTGTCATGCTGGATATGCAGGTTTTGTACAAAATTGTTTATTGGCGTTCAAGTCAAAGAGCACAAAAGAATATCAGCGAAGACATGGACTCAATTAAAAAGTGGTTCGCAAATCTTTTGCAAAACCCACCTGACCGATCTTGGACAATGCCCTTTACCAGTCGGTACATTTTGATAAGCCGCCAGCAAAGACGAAGAATAAAGCCGAGAATGTGGCATGGCTACAAAGCAACGGAGTCAGAGCAGATATGACTCTTAAAAGAGGAACTAGTGAGGTTCGTAGAAGATCACAAACCAAGGACACCGAGGTACGTCGTCGAGGAATTAGAACGGGAGCATGGGCACGAAGTAATAAGGACACCACCATACTACTGCCAGTATAATGCTCTAGAACTGATTTGGGCTCGAGTCAAAGGTTAGTTTCTATACTTACATGTTCTTGATCCCAATGCATAAAAAAGTATTAAAAATTTTGACGACCTCATTTCCTTTAAAACCCCAAAAAAATTCAATATAATTATGGTAGACTAAGCTATATGTTATATTTATTTTGTTATTCTTCTTTTTTCTTGTTACTATTGTAAATTTAAATAATCTTTTTAGAATACGCTGCGAGACATAACACAGCCCCACCATTCACTACAAAAAAATGAAGATGACTGGGAGAAGGTGGTAGAGAAAACTAAACAATAGCAGAAGACTTTCGAAACAGACATTCGTATCGAAAATTCCTGCCATAGGGCGCTTCTCTCGAAGCTCCCTTCCTATGGGCTTCCCGAGAAATAATGTAACTGGGTCACCAGTTTCCTTGCAGGTAGAAGCATAAAGGTCGTTATCAACGGAGCATGCTCTGACTTGAAGTCAGTAAATGCTGGGGTCCCGCAAGGCTGTGTGCTATCACCCACACTGTTTCTTCTGCATATCAATGATATGTTACGAACTACTGGCATCCATTGCTATGCAGATGATAGCATGGGAGATGCCTTTTACACCGGCCGTCCTAATATTTCTTGGGAAAACGTCATCGAGAGTCGAAACAAACTTGTCTGAAGTTGAAAGTTCCTTAGCGGAGGTTTCAGCTCGGGGTCGACTAAATCTGGTCCATTTTAACCCAAAATAAAAAACACAGGTTTGCGCGTTTACCGCAAAAGATATCGTTTGTCGTATCGCCTCGGTTAGAGAGTACGTCCCTAACTGCCTCAGCCAGTATTGCAATCATTGGCATTGAGATATCAAGCGAAGTCCAGTTTCGCGGTCATTTAGAGGGTAAGGTCAAATTGGCCTTGAAGAAGCTCGGTGTGCTGAACAAATCGAGGCAGTATTTCACTCCAGCCCATCGCCTCCAACCCTATAAGACGCAAGTCCAACCGTATATGGAATACCATTCTCATCTTTATGCAGGGGCACCACAGTACCAGTTTCTCCTTCTGGACCGTATCCAAAGAAGAGCAACTCGAAACGTCGATAGCCAAAAGATTTGCGACTGGCTCGATCCCTTGGCGACTTTCAAGACACTTTTCGATCAACGAAATACACGCGGGAGGAGCCGCGGGCAAAAGCTAGTTACATACATTTTTAATAACTAATCTTGATTCACAACTGAATTTGGCGGGACGGAAATCGTGCGTCATCGCTGGCATGTTGCACGAGCCCTTAGGTAGTTCCATAGCGACTAGGAAATGTTTACACAGTTTGAAGTAATTAGATATACCTAATAATACCTTGAATTTCATTGCAAAGCAGCTCATAACATGTTAGCCGCCATTAAAATATATTTACTTTAAGTACATAAAGGTAA